GGCCGCCGGCGCCGAGTGACATTGCAGCGGAGCGGCGCCGGGGGCCGAGCCGGCTTTGCGCCTCCCCCTGATGCGAACGGGAACCTTCCAGAGCTGCGGAGGGGGAGCCGGGAGCCGGGCCCCGCACCGCCCCGCACCTGCGGGCTTCACCCCCCGGGCCTGGGCGAGCCGCCACGCATTGCGTTGCATTGCATTGCATTGCATTGCATCCCCCGCCCTGGGGGAGCCGCCACGCATTGCATACCTGGGCTTCCCCCTGGCTGGCACCGCGCTGCACCTGGGGGCTGTCCCCGGGGGCAGCAGAGGCGGAGGGGTGGGGGTATTAAACAAGAGTGGGCACACGAGGCTCTTTGGGTGAAGCCCGTGTCTTCTATTACATCGTTTCTAAACCCGTGGTACGCGTACCCCCACCCTGCCGGTGTCTCCTTTGCCCTCTTTTCCTGTCTCTCGTGCCCTCTTTTCCCCTCAAAACCATGACAAAAAATGACCCAGTAATAATTTGGCGTTCAGCCCTCCTAGCTTTGGGCAGCATCGCCTCTAGCCCAGGTATACAGGCAGTCCTTGACTTGCAACACTTTGGGTTACAATGTTTCCCACTTACAACGTTTATAAATGGACACCCTGTTTCATTTTATGACATCCCTTTCGACTTACAACGCTTGATCCGACCCCAGCGAGCAAGGTTGCGGCGTCGTTCATCCCCCTGGAGAACGTCTGTCCAAACTTCCTTGGACACTTTCTTTAAGAAAGCAGACAGGACTCCAGAGACAGGCCCCCAGAAACCCCTGCAGCCGAGGCTCCTGAGAAGACTCCAGCCAAGAGCCCTTCAAAAAGTCCAGCAAAGTCTCCTCAAAGAAGTCCTTCCAAATCAATATGATTGCTATTTACAATAGAAATACATTAATGTAGCTATATTACTCATCTATAATTGACCGAATACAAAATTCTGGGGTATTTTTGGTGAAAATAGGGTATCAGGCCTTGGTTCAGGAACCAATCCCCCATTTATAACATTATTTCCTATGGGGAAATCAGTTCCGAGCTGCAACGTTTCGACTTAAGATGCAGTTTTCAGGAACCAGTTGTGTCGTAAGTCCGAGGACTGCCTGTACTTGAGTTGTGCACCCCTGGTGTAAAAGGTTGGCAACCCTATCCAGACCAGATCAGACATCTGTCATATCACGGCCTTATATACACAGCCCTTCTTCCAACATATGGTGCACAGTCTGTAAATATAAAATCCCCTGGAAAATTGAGTGTTGGGGTAGTTATTAAACTTTTCAGAAGTTAGGGGGTACTTGCTACTTAAAAGGTTGAGAAACACTGCTCTACCAGACCAACTCACATAGTTGGAAAAAAAATCTTCTTTGCATGCTTTCGGGCACAAACACCCTTCATGAGGCTGAGGAAGGGTCTGCCTGATGAAGGCAGACTAGGTTCTTTGGGTAAATCTGATGTCTTCTATCAGAACAAGTCAAAAAATAGTTGGAAAAATTCTTCTTAGCAAGTCTGATGAAGGGTATTTGTACCCAAAAGCTTGCAAAGAAGAATTTTTCCAACTATTTGAGTTGGTCTGATAGAAGATATCAGATTTACCCAAAGAACCTTGTCTGCCTTTGTCAGGCAGACGCTTCCTCAGCCTCATGAAGGGTGTTTGTGCCCAAAAGCTTGCAAAGAAGAATTTTTTCCAACTATTTGAGTTGGGCTAATAAAAGATATGGGATTTACCCAATAGTTGCGCCTGAAAGCTTGCAAAGAAGAATTTTTCCAACTATTTGAGTTGGTCTGATAGAAGATATCAGATTTACCCAAAGAACCTTGTCTGCCTTTGTCAGGCAGACGCTTCCTCAGCCTCATGAAGGGTGTTTGTGCCCAAAAGCTTGCAAAGAAGAATTTTTTCCAACTATTTGAGTTGGGCTAATAAAAGATATGGGATTTACCCAATAGTTGCGCCTGAAAGCTTGCAAAGAAGAATTTTTCCAACTATTTTTGAGTTGGTCTAATAAAAGATACCAAATGCACCCAAAGAACCTTGTCTGCCCGTGTCCTTAGACCAACCTACACACCTGACAAAGGGGGTTTGTGCCCGAAAGAAAGCTTGCGAAGAAGAATTTTTCCAACTGAGTTGCTCTAATAAAAGATACCGGATTTACCCAAAGAACCTGGTCTGCCTGTGTCCTCAGACCAGCGGTTCCCAAACTCCGACATTCTGCGCACCACCGAATGAAAACAACACACCCTGACATACCACCAGCACCTTTTTCATTTCAGCCTTTAAGTACCTCCAGCACATTTCTGTCAGATACAGTAATTATAATACATCTGTTAATGTGTACCACTGACAGGTTGTCTGCGTACCACTGGGGGCACGGGTACCACAGATTGGGAGCCACTTAGACCAACATGACTACAACCTACACCCCTGAAACAAGAATGGGGGAACGTCTGAGGGGTGGTTGAGGGAAATGGGCTCATTGCATAAGAGAAGACCGAGGGGGATTGAATAGCAGCCTTCACCTCCCTGCCGGGGGGCTGCAAAGAGGATGGAGCTGGGCTGGTCTCAGTGGGGGCAGATGGCAGGACAAGGAGCAATGGGCTCAAGCTGCAGCAAGGGAAGTTGAGGTTGGATATTTCTCACTAGGAGGGTGGTGAAGGCTGCCCAGAGAAGTGGTGGACTCTCCATCCTTGAAGGTGTTTAAGATGCAGACAGACAAAGCCCTGGCAAGGATGATGTACTTGGGGCTGGTCCTGCTTTGAGCGGGGGGTTGGACTAGATGGGACCTCCTGAGCTCCCTTCCACCCCTCATTGACTCTGATTCTATAATTCCCGCTGACTTTCATGGCACTTACAGGATCACAGCTGCTTAAGGGCTCCTGTCCGGCCACCTCCAGGACGAGGCTCCTGCTCCATTAAGTCGGAGCTCTGCATTTGCCCTTCATGAGACACTGCACCGTGGTTGGTGTGTGCGCTGTTTCCACTGAGCTTCACTCAGGGAAAGCTGCCCTACTTTCAGTGAGTTCCCACACGGCATCCTCAGGCCCTGGGGAGCTGATAGGGGGGTTTCTGTCTCAACAAGATGGTGCTGAGAACAAACTCAAGTCTTGAAAGCAGCCGTAGCCCACTGCTCAGGCTGGCGGTTCCAGATGGCTTTGTATTAAGAGCACTTGCTTCTCAGGGTCTATTTATTTCTCTGTCTCTATGATAGGAGAGTTCCCCAAGCGCTCTTACACTGTTAATGAGCCATAGCCTCCCGCAGACAGGGGACAGGTTCTGCGGTACCCGACGTGGCCTTTGCTGCTCTTCTGGCCCATTTGCAAGCCGCTGGTCGGGACGGTTCATGCCCTGGCTCCGTGCAGCATCCACAAAAAACAGGACTTGGTTTCAGCTCTTAGCTGGAGAACCAGACTCCCGTTCAACTCTGGAGGTCTCCGATTCGGTCCCTTGTGTCTCTGCAAGATGGTGCCCGTGTTTTGCTAAAGGGTTGGGTTTCAATCTCGGCTGAGTAAATGCATGACCTTGTTCACCCCGATGACTCCCTGATCCCTTGATTTTCTTAAAAGCGGTCTATTTCCCAAGGGTTAAAAATGACCCTAAATTTCACAGAGGAGGAACGGGATAAGAATTTCACCGAGTGGTAGGGAGGATCAGTCAATCTCCGAGTAGCCGCCATGTCTCGGCATTGCCCATGTGCTGGATATTACAGAGTTTCTGTTTTGGCTTTCCAGCATTTTTCCGCCATCCCCTTACTCGAAAGAGCCCTCTGGAGCTAATGCAAACATGATAGCATGTTTGAGGCCAGCAGTAAAATACACAATAATGTAGTTTGAAACATCCTTTTTTAGGGAAAAAAAATATATATTTTAACTGAAATGGCAGATAATGAAAGCAACTCAGGAGATGCAGGGCTGGACACAATACAGCTAGATTAGATATTTGGAAGGTATGTAGGCAAGTTGCTATCCAAGAGAAAACCACATTATTATTCTAGGTTAAGATGGCCAACACAGATCTCTTCTTCATCTTAATGTTGTGTGGTAGCCCTACAAAGAGATAACGTGACCATGAATATCATTCAGATCAGTGCGATGGCTGGTCCATAATCACCGTAAGTATTTGATGTTATCAGCTTGAAGTTGTATAAGGTTGTCAGCTGGAAAAGATGTAAGTGCAGATGACTTCAAATCCCAGGCTTCAGTATCAGCCCATCATTGCTCGGTTTGCTGTGGGTTTGTAGCAAGGATTTTCACCTGTGAAGTGTATTGGATCTCTGGAAGGAGCCAGCTCGCTTTGGACCTTGATACTTCTCTCTGCCTGCAGTTCTGCAGAAGAATCAGTCTCTGTCTCTTTGCATAAACTGTTGAGTGATACAAAAGGAGGCCAGTGAGAATCAGCAAACTTGGGCGTTGCTTTATTTAGTGTGCAGCCCAAGGACTCCCTTCGGCCTCCCTCTGAACTTGAGAGGTGCTTTCATCCAACTAGAGGTGTGTGCAGACTTGACTTTTCAGTTCGCTGGCTAAGCTATAAAACTGCGGGCAGGGGAACAGCTTCAAGTCCATGAAAATGTGTCAAGTTTCTTAATGAAAAAATGAGAAAATTATTTGGGGCCAAACCAAGCATTTTCAACCCCTTTAACATGTCTTTAATTACATTTTGGCCATTTTTCGCACCTATAATTTGAAGTGTTACTTTTCAGAAATGTGACAATTAAACCTTTGCTTTTCCAAAGACTTGTGTTGGTTTCTCTTAACGTATAACCTGAATAATCATGGGTGTGACCTCCCTAGTACCCTGCTTTCTAACCAAAGCCAGTTGCCCCGTTGTACGTTGAAGAATCTGACCAGTTTTCAGCGCCACGAACCACTGATTCTGAAATACAGAGAACAGTAATTCTAACCCAAATTAGCTCCACATCCTGAGTGCAACTCTAATATCCTTCCCCACGGGGGGACTTCAGATACTCCCATATCCATTGGCAAGCATCCTATGTGCTGGTCTAAGACAAGAGGTCTTGGGATTCGGACACCCCCACCAAGACACCTGATCTGAGCAGAAGGCTAGTACCCATGCTCGACACCCCTTTCTTTTTGCACTTGTGGCGATGATCCACCTGCTCCCCATTGCTCTGAGTGGCCTCCTTGAACAGAGGGGTGCAGAGAGTTGCCTATATGATCGGTGAGAAGGGTTTGCTCTAATTTCAGGGAGCTGGGAAGGGCCTGAAAATCTCTCTGAATAAATGAGCAGCCTAACACTGTATAATGCTCTCCCTGCCCATTATTTTTGCATTTACATTTCCAAGTGCTTTGAGTTGGGCAAATGTTTAAGTCTTATTTGAGAGAATGTGAAGGCAGGGGGAAGTTTACAGCAGCTGTGTGCTTCTTGGCGTAGAAGATTTGGAAGCGAGTTTTATTTGCTTCAAAGCAAATGGGTTTAATTATCATTTATTTATGGTGATCTATTAAGCACTTACATACAATTATACCCATGCACTGAACTCTGTTTGCATTGAGGTTTATAATATTGCATAATTAATGCAATGTGCATAACACTATGAAAAGCCTCACAGTTACAGAAATTAGAGCTGCCTGACTAGCTACCTACTGTGGAGCAGCCAGGGAGTCCTGTGGCACACACAGCGGAGCTTGTCTTCACTCATTCTCCAGGCACCAACACAAATCAACTGCTTGGCAGTGGCAGATATTCTAATAGCAGTGGGTTAGGAACATTTTGGGATAGTCTGGTGTCGTCCCTCAAGACAGAGAAGTGCCTAATGAAGCTGATAATGGATGCATTGTCTTTTGCCTTTTTGATTCTTATGGTAATAGAAATAAGAGTTTGTGCACAGCGTACCCATCTTTCATCTTCTGCCAAGGAGGCATTTTGGTCCATTGGCTTGGAGTCAGGAGGACTGGGTTCAGTCTTTGCTGTATGATCTTGAACAACTCGTTAAATCTCTCTGTTCCCACACTTGATATTGAAGCTGGTAACCCTTTCCTGTTTGCTGTTCCTTCATAGCTCATAGATGAAGGTGGCTATGCAAATGCTAAGTCCCATCATGACTTTGTGTGCAGGTGGCAAGTGGCCAAATATAGACACAAGCAGGAAGGCCTGCGGTCTACAGGTAATGCCAAGATTCAGTGGACCCGGATGTCCTTCAGTTGAATTCCTTCCTTGCACCTTGGCATCACTTTCTCCCTCTGTGTATTACCACGAATTACCTTCCTTAACCATTCAGCTTCATCTCAGTACTTCTGAAGCGGGGGTTTCTGAGGATGGGTGTCATGCCTTCCCTCTCCGTATGTGACTGCCCAGCTGTTCACATCCAGGTCTTACAAGGGCTCAGCTCCTCCATTTCTGCTTCTTCTCCAGGGCCATGAGCTGCCATTATATTTTTTGCACCCAGGATAGGTTTCCTTTGCCTAATGCCTGTTCTTACGAATTTCTCAGCTAGTTCCATGTTCCTCTGTCCTGTTTTTGACTGCTGTGGCTGCACTGCCTGCTTGTGATGGAGTAGAAAGTTCACCAAAGTGTTTTTGCACATCCTTCGTTGTCCATGACTGTCCATTGCCCATTCCACATCTCCAGTGCACAATACGGGACATGGAGGAAACAGTTCTTGGCTCCTGGTTCATGTACTCGGCCCCGATGACACCACCTTGTTAAGAGCAATATTTGATAACCATCTGCCAGTGGCTACAGAGATCTCTTTGCAGTCATTATCTGTGAAGGTTAATAAATGAAGTCCTAGGCTTTTAACCCAGCTCAGACATAGTGTCAGGTTGAAAGGTGTCCTGGGAGCAATGTTTATTATTTCTTTCTCTCTTCACTGTAACTCAGATTGTGGCTAACATGACTAAGACAATCTCAAAAATGCAAAAGGTTTTCTGCGGTTCCACTGAATGGGGAAAGGCTGTTGATTTATTTCTGCTGCAGAAGGAACCTCTGAAATGAAAAGAGAGCCCATAAAATGCATGGCCTCATTTCCTCTAGATGTATACGCCTGGTGATATTAAGCTGTAAACATTTTCCAGGTGAGATTTATAGGGATATATTAACTGTTAGAGAAGAATTTGTCATATCCTTTCATAGTTTCATAGTTGGTCGGGTCGGAAGGGACCTGAGCAGATCATCAAGTCCAACCCCCTGCCATGGCAGGAAAGAGCGCTGGGATCAAACACCCCTGGCTAGGTGATTATTTAGCCTTCTTTTGAAGACCCCCAGGGTAGGAGCCAGCACCACTTCCCTTGGAAGTTGGTTCCAGATCCTAGTTGTCCTAACAGTGAAGTAGCGCCTTCTCATGTCTAGTCTGAATCTACTCGCAGTCAATTTATGGCCGTTATTCCTTGTTACTCTGGGTAGTGCTCGGGGGAACAGGGACTCCCCCAATGCCTGCTGGTCCCTCCTGACTAGTTTGTAACAGGCCACCAGGTCCCCCCTTAGCCTTCTCTTGTGGAGGCTGAACAGGTTCAGGTCCCGTAGCCTCTCCTCGTAGGGCCTGCCCTGCTGCCCCGGATCATGCGAGTGGCCTCATCTGGCCCCTCTCCATGCTGCCCACATCCCTCCTGAAGTGGGGCGCCCAGAACTGGACACAGTACTCCAGCTGCGGCCTGACCAGTGCCGCATAGAGGGGGAGGATCACCTCCTTGGACCTGCTCGAGATGCATCTGTGGATGCACGACAAGGTGTGGTTGGCCCTGCCGACCGTGTCCCATGTTCATCTTGGAATCAATGACTCCAAGATCCTTTTCTGCATCTGCGCTGACGAGAAGGGAGTTCCCAGCCTGTAGGTCTGCTGCTGGTTCTTCCTCCCCAGGTGCAGCACCTTGCACTTGTCAGTGTTGAATCCCATCCTGTTCTCATCTGCCCACCCTTGTAACCTGTCTAGGTCCAATTGCAGCCTATTCCTCCCCTCTAGCATGCCCACATCCCCCCACATCTTAGTGTCATCTGCAAATTTGAACAGGGTGCTTTTTACCCCCTTGTCCAAGTCACTGATAAAGATGTTGAACAGTATACTTCATAGGTTTTTGAAGTCAAAGACACTCATGCTGCTGAGGCCTGGGTGTACCTGTGTTTCACAAGCTAAGCAGCTACAAACCTGCTCAACTCTTTCATTAGCAGTTGTACTGAAGTAGCATCAAAGAAAACCAGCCAAGCTTGGCCCCTAGGATGCTAAGCACTGCACAAACACACAGTTAGCAGCATTTCTTGCCTGGAAGATCTTAAGACCTTAATTTGACAAGACAAGGAAAGGGTGGGAAAAAGAGGTGTGGAGAGGTGAAATGACTCCATCCAATTTAGACAGCAGGTTATAGGCCAAGCTGGAGCTAGAGACCGTGTCT